CTCTAACCCCTCTCCCTGTGCTCCACTCTCTCTCCAGGACGCCTTTGTGAAGATCACGCGCTACGAGGGCGTCAGGTCTCTGTGGAGCGGCTTGCCCCCCACCCTGTGAGTTTGGACTCTGCCTGGGGGGGGATTCTGGGTGCAAACGCCTGCCTGGGCACATGGGCATCTGCCCCGAGCCTCCTGCCAGCCCCCGGGGAGGGCACGCGTGCCCCTCACACCCCTCCTCCTCGGCAGGGTCATGGCTGTGCCAGCCACCGTCATTTATTTCACCACCTACGACCAACTCCGGGACTACCTGCACGCTCGGACGGGAAGCCAGGGGCACCACATCCCCTTGCTGGCTGGGGCCCTCGCCAGGCGTGAGTACCCCTCCTCTCCAGGGATCCCCCTGTGCCCACCCTGCGTCCTCACAGGAGAGCGCGACAGGTCTCTTGGCGCCCACGTTCGGCGCCTGGCTCTCCTGGCACGGCGCTCTGATGGCTCCGGCACGGCTGCTGGAGCATACGGGGCTGATGCCCGATGTCCCCTCCATTGCAGTGGGTGCCGTGACGGTCATCAGCCCCTTGGAGCTCATCCGCACCAAGATGCAGTCCCGGCAGCTCAGCTACCGGGAGCTGGGCGTCTGCATCCAGTCGGCGGTGGCTCAGGATGGCTGGCTGTCCCTCTGGAGGGGCTGGGGACCCACTGTGCTGCGAGACGTCCCCTTCTCAGGTATGGCTGCGGGGGGGACAGGGTGAGCGGTGGCACTGGGAGATGGGGGAACGAGCACAGGGCAGGGCAGCCCTGCGTGTGGGGAGAGGGGAGGTTGGCGTGTCCGGGGTGCCTTGTTGTAGCTCTGGTGTCTCTCTTCTCCCAGCTCTCTACTGGTTTAACTATGAGCTGGTGAGGGAATGGCTCTGCGGGCAGACCCGGCTCAACGAGGCCACATTCATGATCAGCTTCGCATCCGGGGCCATCTCTGGGACGGTGAGTTTGGGGTCCTGCGGTCTGCGCCGTGCAGGGGCTCGCTCGGCCGTTAGCTGGGGGAGGAATGGCCCCCATGGGGAGCAAGGGATGGGGCTGGGACGGCGCTGGGAGGTGACGGCAGAGCTGGCACAGGTCCCAGCTCACCACCCGGCTGCTGACCCCGCAGGTGGCTGCGGTGCTGACGCTGCCCTTCGACGTGGTGAAGACCCAGCGGCAGATCGAGCTGGGAGACAGCGAGGTGCACCCAGGTGAGAGGCCGGGCTGCGGGCGGATGCCTGGGGGGCAACCAGGACTCCCCGGTGGTATGTGAGCATCCCCGGACCCTGACCCGTTCCCCTCTCCCCGCAGTCGCAGCCTCCAAGCCTTCCTCCACCTGGCTACTCATGCGGCGCATCCGCGCCGAGTCTGGCACCCGGGGGCTGTTTGCAGGTAAGGCCGTACCCCCCGCCCCGGCCTGGGGTTTACTGGTGCCCCTGCTGTCACCGAGGGGCTAACGGCATTGTCCTTGCAGGCTTCCTGCCCCGCGTCATTAAGGTGGCACCCGCCTGCGCCATCATGATCAGCACCTACGAATTTGGCAAGACCTTTTTCCAGAAGCTGAACCAGGAGCGGCGGCTGCGTGGGTTGTGAGCTGG